CACTGTGGACGGCCTCAGTTCGGGTAATGTGGTCATGTTCAAGATTTCTGCCAATAACAGTGCCGGAGAGAGTCCCTCTAGCAAGCCATATACTATGACTACGGATGAACCCAATGCTTCGACACCCGATAAGGTATCATCGATTCGTAGGGTTAATATAGAGGATTCTTTTTAGGTCACTGATTTGACTGACACTGGTAGCACTTCCAACTCTGTAGCGTTGAACTGGACAGCCCCTGCTGACAACGGTGCTATGATATTGAGGTATATCATCAGTGAGGGTGATAATACCTATACAGTTGATGGTCATGATACATCATACACTGTAACGGGGCTTAGTCGTGGTAGCGATTATACATTCTATATTGTGGCTAAGAACTCTCAAGGTGAAAGTCCAAAATCAGATGGAGTATCAACTGCGACAACTGAGAGTTGTGAAGCCGATCCTCCGAGTAATGTTATGTTACAGACGCCTTTCTCTGATGGTGTAAGTGTAAGTTGGAGTAAAGCCAATAATCCTCAATGTGATCTACCAGTAACTGCCTATCGTGTTATTGATGATGATGGTAATGAACTATGCCAAGTAGCAGCTAATGATGATGATGGTGCTCTATGGTGTGATGTTACCGGCCTACAGCCCAGTACTTCCTATAATATCAGAGTACAAGCTAAGAACTCTGCTGCTGGATGGTCTACTAAGTCTTCATCACCTGTTAAGATGTCTACTATTGCTAGTTAAAAGAGTGATAACTTCTTCAGCTTCAAATATCACCCCAGCTTTTTTCTGCTCATGAAGGTTAGATGCCTGCTGCTTAAGTAATTCCTCTTTATCTGTAAAGGCTTTTTGAAGTGCATCACCTGACCGGGCAGATAGTTCACCGGGGTGAGAAAAAAGAGCAACAACTGATTTAGGCAATTTGGCGGTGTTGATACAGCGGGTAATAATCTTACGTGAAATATTTTCCGCATCAGCCAGCGCAGAAATATTTCCAGCAAATTCATTCTGCAATCGGCTTGCATAACGCTGACCACGTTCATAAGCACTTGTTGGGCGATAATCGTTACCCAATCTGGATAATGCAGCCATCTGCTCATCATCCAGCTCGCCAACCAGAACACGATAATCACTTTCGGTAAGTGCAGCAGCTTTACGACGGCGACTCCCATCGGCAATTTCTATGACACCAGATACTCTTCGACCGAACGCCGGTGTCTGTTGACCAGTCAGTAGAAAAGAAGGGATGAGATCATCCAGTGCGTCCTCAGTAAGCAGCTCCTGGTCACGTTCATTACCTGACCATACCCGAGAGGTCTTCTCAACACTATCACCCCGGAGCACTTCAAGAGTAAACTTCACATCCCGACCACATACAGGCAAAGTAATGGCATTACCGCGAGCCATTACTCCTACGCGCGCAATTAACGAATCCACCATCGGGGCAGCTGGTGTCGATAACGAAGTATCTTCAACCGGTTGAGTATTGAGCGTATGTTTTGGAATAACAGGCGCACGCTTCATTATCTAATCTCCCAGCGTGGTTTAATCAGACGATCGAAA